GAAAATGGGTAAAGAATATGAATAGACAGTTCACAGAAAAATAATTACTAATAACCTTTACATATGGTATATGAAAATATGCTCAACTTTACTAAGAAATGCAAACTTAAACTATCAAGACACTATTGCCGGCCGGACGCAGTGGCCTGTAATCCTAGCTCTCTGGGAGGCCGAGGCGGGCGATTGCTCGAGGTCAGGAATTTGAAACTAGCCTGAGCAAGAGCAAGACCCATCTCTACTATAAATAGAAAGAAATTAATTGGCCAACTAATATATCTAGAAAAAAAAAATTAGCCGGGCATGGTGGTGCATGCCTGTAGTCTCAGCTACTCGGGAGGCTGAGGCAGGAGGACTGCTTGAGCACAGGAGTTTGAGGTTGCTGTGAGCTAGGCTGATGCCATGGCACTCACTCTAGCCTGGGCAACAGAGTGAGACTCTGTCTCAAAAAAAAAAAGACACTATTGCCTAGCAGACTACCGAAAATCTAAAAGTATGACATGTCACTCTATTGGTGGGGTGGGGAAGAAAAAAAGCACTCTTATGCTAGGAGTATAAACTGGTACATGCCCTCCTATGGAAGGCATATACTTTTTGAGGTAGTCATTAAAGCCATTAATAAATATCCCTCTCTGGATCTTTTGAGATATATATATAGCTCCTATTTCAGTTGGGTATGGTTATATGGATTTGCTTTAGCCAGGGAAACATGAGCAAAAGTGATGTATGTAACTTCTGGGAAGAAGTTTTAAAAGCCAGAGTGCAATTTGCTATGTTGTCTTTCACTTGTTATCTTTTCTTTTCCTTTACCATTGTGACTGGCAATGGTTGGTCCATCAGCCTAGACTGTAGAGAGAAAACAACTTAATGCAGAATTCCTTGACATGTGGCAGGACATGCAACACAGGCAAGAAACAAATCTTTGTTATTTTGAGCCACTGACAAATGGAGGGCAATTTGGCAATATTTATCAAAATTATAAATGCATATCCCCATGATATACTTGCACACATGCAAAATGACATATGTATATGGTCACTCATTTGCAACATGGTTAGAACAAGTGGAAACAACCAAATGAACATCAAAGGACTAGTTAAATACTTCAAGTACATTTGTTCAATGGAATACCACATAGCTACAAAAAATGAAACATTCTCTTAGAGTTGATATAGAAGGATCCCCAAGTAAAAAATCAAAATATTCTCAGTATGTATAAAAAGGTATAAGGGAGAATTAGAATATATACTCATATTTGCTTATATGTGCATTAAAAATTTCTAGAATTATAAATAAGAAACTACCGAGAAAGATTACCTTGGGCAGAGGGTGAAGGGGTTACTAGGCCAAACTTCCAATTACTAGAGGTTGAGGAAAATCCTTGATGCCTTGCTTAACTTCTTTTTCTCTTATAACCCAATCTGTCAGCAAATTTCATCTTAAGTATAAATGGTGTACTACTGCCTCTATCTTAAACTGTTATCAGATCCCTCATTAATTTCTGGCTTATTTTTCTCCTCTTGGCCACTTCTAATCAGTTGACAATTACTTTATCTGTGTTAAGAATATCTTTAGGCCAGCTCTGTGGCTCATACTAGCACTCTGGGAGGCTGAGGCGGGGTGGATCACTCAAGATCAGGAGTTCGAAACCAGCCTGAGCAAGGAGACCCCATCTCTACTAAAAATAGAAAGAAATTAATTGGCCAACTAAATATATATAGACAAAATTAGCTGGGCATGGTGGCACATGCCTGTAGTCCCAGCTACTCGGGAGGCTGAGGCAGAAGGATTGCTTGAGCCCAGGAGTTTGAGGTTGCTGTGAGCTAAGCTAATGCCATAGCACTCACTCTAGCCCAGGCAACAGAGTGAGACTCTGTCTCAAAAAAAAAAAAAAAAAGAAAGAAAGAATATCTTTAGTATTTTTCTCTGACTTTAGTAGCAATGGTTCTTAGTTACACCAAGATAGACCATGCCCCTTTCTATGATTCTAAGCTTTGGCAACTGTTTTCAGCTATTCTTTTTAAGAGACTCTGAACTACTGCTTAAAAAGAAAAACATAATTTAAACTGTGTCTGCTCCAATATATTCTTATTTTTCTCATTCAAAGCTCTCCTTTTACCTGGAGAAGGTTAGTTATTTTATACTTTCCTTTATAGTAAGAATGACAAGATCCTTACATCTGAAAAGGTAGAAATGAAAACTTAGTATTATGACACTGACTCCATAAATGTTCACTTCCAACGTTTACCTCATGTCAGTATAGATCAACAGATTCCCAATGTTTGTAAACAGCCTGATCAATAGAAATTAGTTTTTAGCATATACCTCTCTCAATATAGATTTATTCATTTAAAAAATTATACACACTTACACTGGTATTTATATATGAATTATATTATAAAATTAAAATGTGAAAGGCATTAAAAATTTTTAGAAAGTTTATTAATAAAAAATTTTTGCTATAACTAAAAATATTAGCAGTAGTAAATTTTTTTTAGTGAAAGCAGTCTGATATAATATGCCTAATTATTTTCTAAATCTTATTTTAATATTTTGTTATAGAATGACTTGAAGGTCTGGTTCCACATTCAATCATTTCAATACATGGTTTTCACAGCTATCATATCTGAAAAAGATCCTGATACAACAATCAAATGAAAGAACTGTAATTGGTTCCTACATGTCAATTATTCATAGATTCTGTTGAACTTTGGCTAGTAATTTTTCATCTTTTCTGATGTCAGTTGTTCTTGCAAAGTAGTCAGAAATATTTTTATGTTTTTAACAAATAAGTTTAAAACTCACTGAAATTCTTCATTAGAAAGAGTGTTAATATGCTAATAGTCTCTTTCCAAGATTTTAGCATTCAGTAATGAGTTTTTATCAGTAACAGTCACTGTTTCTGATAAAAGAACACACACCTATACAAATGGAAACATTTTTCAAACATTTGTGTTCAAAATACTTTCTCCAAAGCAGGTACCTTTTTAATAATTATTAAAACACTACTAGCTCATGCCTGTAATCCTAGCACTTTGGAAGGCCAGGAGTTCAAGACCAGCATGAGCAAGAGAGAGACCCTGTCTCTACAAAAAAATAGAAAAACTAGCTGGGCATCATGCTGCACACCTGTAGTTCCAGCTACTCAGGAGACTGAGGCAGGAGGATTGCTTGAGACCAGGAGTTTGAGGTTGCAGTGAGCTATGATCATGCCACTGCACTCTAGCATGGGCAACAGTAAGATCCTGTCTCAAAAAACAAAACATCTCAGAGCTGGAAAAATTTTTTCTTAAAAAAAAAAAAACAGAAAAACCAAAAAAACCCATTACCTTCTCCCCAAGGGGTCAAACTAAGAGTGCTTATGTGAAGCTAGAACAATTTGAGCATCTATATAAATGACAGTAATGGATTACAACTCATGTAATAAATTAGGAAGAGTCCATACTGACATAAATCAAGAGGGGAAAAGGTAAATCTCTATAACAGAATGCCAACTAATTAATGTAGAAAGGATAGTGGAAACAGAAAGTTATCAGTTGTGGTAGATTCAAAGAGGCGTCATCAATGGATACTTAACTGGTAGGTAGATATTTGATGAGTAACAAGGTATCAGCATAGTCTCAGGATCGCACCATAAAGCACTTAACAATTACAAAGGGGAAAACAGTGGAATGGAGAAACCTGGCCAATATAGACTTAACCAAGTGATTAAGCTAACAACCTGTCCCAGTGGTAGGACAAGTTGACATCATGTACTTTCTGATGTGATGCACTGAAAAAAGCACAGCATCATTTTTGTGTAATTCCTGCCAAGAAAGCATGGCCTGAGTATGGACACAAGGAAACACTGAATGGATCCAAATTAAAGAATGAAAAGCCTACAAGATGAAAAGCCTATATCATTTAAAACTGTCAAGGATGGGAAAAACTAAAGAATTGTTCCAGACTGAAGGAGGCTAAAGAAATATGACTACTAATGTAACGTGTCATCCTGAATGGGATCCAGGATTACAAATGAAACAGAGACATTGTAGGGACAATTGGCCAAATACACATGAGGTCTTGAAGGTAGTGTTGTCTGCTGTTGTTTTCCATATTTGGATAGTTATATTGTAACTTACAGGAGACTAGCCTTGTTTTTTAGGGAAATACAAACAGGAGTATTTAGGAGTGACAAGAATACCATGTCTTCAACTTTCTCTCAAATGGATCAGAAAGACTGATTATGATGGAGAGAGGGTGACAAAACAAATGTGAAATATCAACAATTGTAGCACCTGGGTAAGGGGATATGGTAGTTCTTTATAACTACAGTGTTTGCAACTTTTCCTTAAGTTTAAAACATAATTTATTTTAAAGTAATTTCAAAGTGTGTTCACACATGTGAGCATACTTGCATTTTTAATATCTGTAAGGTATTATACTACTAGCAGCCATTGTCATCATTTAAAAATGTACCTTCTGCCTGAAGACTGCCTACCTACTAATACACAGATAAAGACATTTCAAACTTCTAACATTTAAAATGAAAAATACTTCTTTGTTTTTTCTTTTTTCACATTGTTTCAAATCTTAATGTGTTCTTGCTTTGGGCCTTAAATTAGGGAATCCCAAAGAAATTTTTGTAAACTCTTTCTGGACCCATAGAGATCAGCCAGTAATACTTGAACTGGCTAGGTAAGGGAGACAACAACCAATCTAAGAGGACTTGAAATAGTCTCTTGCACTAAGCTTAAACTAAAATGGCTTCAGAGACAGTACTACTTGAAAATAAGCATCTATCTTTACCTTCAGGCTTTCAACCCACCATTTGATTTCCATTAATCAGCATAAAAGAAAACCAAGGCCACCTCCCATCTCTTAAAGTTCTCGCTTAATTGTCATGCATTCCCAGAATCATACTGTAAGAAGATGACTAATCACTGACTGCTTCTTCAGCACCATATGCCTCCCAATTTCAAAGGAAAAAACGGTCCCAACCAGTACTAGAACAGATTTCCTACCTCCTGCAACTGGAGTCGAACCTTGGTAACTGCTCGGATCCAGTGCGCTCTGGCTTGGGTAAATGGCGAAGAGGCATTCTCCTCAGGAAAACTTGTAACAAAAAAAGAGAAGGTTTCTTAAAAATAGCCAAGGCCACAAGGTGACAGTGCTCAAGGCAAGACTGCCAAATATCTAAAATAAAATGATTTATATTCATGCCTACACTTGTTTAGTGACTCAGGCCACTAAAACAGCACAGTACTGAATACCCAATGTGAAAACAATTTCTCTCTAAAACAATAACTCCTTTTAGCTGTTCAGCTGTTCTCTTCCTTCTTTTTTTCATTTACCCAATGAAGCAACTCACTGGGACAGTCCAGGATCAGGACACTAGAAGGAATGGCAGGGGTCCTGAAACAATGTCTAGTGTAGAAACTATGCAGAGAGGTGTGAAATAAGCCTTTTAACACCTCTCACTCTACCTCCCAAGACCACCAGCTCCCTTGGGGGTTCTGCATAGCACCTTAGGGCAGAGTTTTGTTCTTGCAAACCTTTCCTGCACCATTAAGTATTTTCAAAGGCCTGCCAATTCCTAGACTTTGTGAAAAGTTCCAGGAAGAAAATCACAGCCTTTTTCCTGCCATGATATTGTTTCTGGAGCTGCCTTAGGAACACCTTCAGTGAAATGAACAATAAATATAACAAAGTACCTTTGCGATAGAAACACTATCCTGTATTAGGACAAGTCATCATACAGGTTCTTAACTGGAATAGTGGTTACTATTGGTAATAATGTTTCTCCTTCCCCGCTTTAGGGCCTACAGCCAATGTAACAGATAACTGTCCACCATTTAGACATGTAAAATATATGGTAGGCTCTGATGTCATCTGGGTCACTTGCTCTATAACATTTGTGGGCACCTCTGACCAACATAGACCTGGACTTTACTTGCACAGCTAGGACCTGAGAAAACACAACTGGTAGAGAAGGACAAGTACTCATGCTGGGCACATCTGCTTCTGTACCAAGAGCTCTGTCCTGGCAAGAGGGCTGCCAAGAGCTCTGTCCTGGCAAGAGGACTGCCAAGGGCCACAAACAGCTATGGCCAGTCTTTCAGTGGGTCATGGACCCAGTGAGAAGGCTGGTCCACAGCTCAGGCTCCTCGATGTCTTGCCTATTAATTTAGATGAGCCACCAGAGATAACTAGAAACCAAAAAGAGAAGAAGAAAATAAGTTTATAACTTCAGAAAGGTACATGATTTATCCATTAATCCAATAGTGCAGTAGAAGCACCAACCATTCCCTAATTTTTACCATGTAATCAGCATTCACTGTTCTGGTCTTTTAATGAGAGGTTCTATTATTAGACCTTAGAATCAGAATCTAAGTCACACCCAGCCCTTATCACTCTACTGCAATGGTTTTCAACTGGGGGCAATTTCCCACCCCCACCAGGGGAAATCTGTCAGGAGAGTTCTGGTTGTCACAACTGGGGGTTGCTACTAGTATCTAGTGTGTAGAGGCCAGCGATGCTATTAAACATCCTATTATACATACAACAAACAACTCCCCACAATTATCTGGCCCAAAATGTCAATAGTGCCAAGACTGAGAAACCCACCCTTGCTCCGACCTGTCAGTTACCCTAACCAATTTAGCTCAATAACACCCAGACTCTGTATTAAGCTTCATTATAAGAAAGTCAAATGGACATATTTTAAATTTTTCTTCTAATGGATGCCAACTGTCAGACACACTGCTAGGCCCTAGGGAGGCAGAGGGGTAAGTTAAATCTGGCTTCGAGGTCAATTCTTTCTTATCTCTGTCCTGGTTTTCTTAGCCAGGGTATAATAAAATGTTCACCAAAAAGGATAAAACATTAATAAGGTAGGAAGTCAGCCAAAGCACCAAAAGCAGCTCTATAGAATGAAATAACTTGGCTCAGGTCAGTTCCAGACTCAGAGGCTGCCATATATGGTGTCAACCAGAGAGCCATGCACTACAGACTCAAGAAGTTCTGGTATACTTCAGCTCACCAATTACAAAGAACCTAAGTGTTCTTCAGAGATCTCTAAAATATTACACCAAAAACCAAAGGATGCAATGCAGAATTGAGCCTGAGTGTCTTGACCACCACCATACCCAGCTACAGGAAAACAAATGAAAAGCACTTTTATTCAGCAATACTACAGGGTAGCTACTGAGCAAGCCATGTGAGTTCCTCAAGGCAGCTATCACCTACCTCTCCTGGGGGCCTAGTACATGGTCTTTTTGTAGCACCAGATCTGGGGGAGGATGGGTTGTGGCATCTTCTTTCATCTCCTTGGGCTCACATATTATTCCCTTGTTCTCACATGATATCTCCTTTTCGGCTTCACCTGTCACTTCCCAGGTTCTCTCTTGTTCTCCAAAACCTGTTTGGCCATCTCTGGAGAGGCTGCCAGAGCTGTGGCAGGAATGAATCGAGTCCCTTTCCCGACGGTCATCATCTTGTTCATGGTACTGGTCCAGTTCACTCAGCTGAGAGCTTCCTTGACTCACATTACAAGAAGAGCCATACCTACTACTGCTGGTAGGGCTGTGAGAATGAGAAAAAGACAGATCAGTATATACATGCAAACTGGGACCAGGGCAAAAGCATGGATAAATCTAGGAGATAATGATTATATCAGCATCAAGAATCACAAACAGGAGGTTCCTGGGAAGACAGGACCAAACTTGACAATCTAGAGGAATTAGCCTCTATTCAGCAGACCACAACAGAAAAAAAAAACACAACATGTTGGGTTCTCCAACAGCACTTAACCTCAGCCTTGCACTTGACTTTGAAGGACATTTTATCTTAATGTGCTATTTGCAAGTAGGATTAAAAATTATTAAAACAGCCTGTTACTCATTCTTTAGTCTTCTAAAGAAACTCGTCCAGTGGCTATGATTAAAATTTTCTAATTTCCACATAATAAAATGGAGTAGTTTCCAACACACGTACACAAATATACTCATACAAACATATTTAATACACATGCACACAAACACACACAATCCCTAAAGCCCCTAATCCCTCTGGACAAATTTGGGCCTGAGGCCAAGGTAACATTCTTAACTGCATTGTATGGTGCTGCTTCTTAGGGGAGAGAACAGTACCCTCTGTAGACAGAACCTGCACAATGCTCCAGACTCAAGAACTACAACAAAGGATAAGTCTGAGTTCCTGTGAGACTTTACTCAAAGCTCTTGTTAGATATCAGTCTTAAGGATAGCAAAAGGCAGAGACTGATACCCTGAAAGAAGCTACGCAAATCCATGTGGAATAGGATATGGATCATCTTAAGCCATCTTTTGCACTTTGTTTTTTACTTAATTCCTTCATTGCCACTGGAAAAAGTATCTTAGAAGACTTGAAAAGGCAAAGCAAAGTAGGTCATCCTCATCTACTACAAGATATAAGTGCCTAATGCCCAAGGAAGCCTCTTAGCCTGTCATGTAGTTGTAGTTAATATATACCACCAACTACTTGCTGCCTGTTCCTTCTCTCCCCTCTCTATTTCCCATTATACATGGCAGCGCAAACCAGAGCAAGTAAATCTCAGGGCCCAGCCTTTCCTTTAGGCAAGAAGCTCCTTGTTCCAATAAATGAATTACAGTTGACACTAGAGAGAAGGGAGAGGATGAAAATACCCACACATTAGTTCTTGTTACTTAATCCCTAATTAACATGAAGCTCAGGTGCTAGGAAAGACACAGGAAAGATAAAAAGCAAACTACGACTCATCTACCACTAAATCACTGGCATCATCATAAATGGTAAATTTCTTAAAGCCATTTATGATGCTTCACTTGAGAACAGGCCTTTTGTTGGTCATTGGTTCCTTGATGACATTCAGAGTGACTGGCTGCTGTACATTCAAAACAGAGTCAGTGCTAGTAGGCAATGCCTCCTCTTCTTGTTTTTCTGGCTGGTGAATTAGCTCAGAGACAATGTAGTTTTCTTCCTCCTGTTTCCCTGAAGGACAGGTGGGGCCAGAGAGGTTTCCTTCGGTATCCCAGTGTTCCTTAGGTGCCGGGATTTCCTCCTGCTTTTCCATTTCGCCAGGCCCTGAAACCTCTGGAGCACAGACACTTGGCTTGGCCCCCAGCTGCTCAGAGGTCTCAGAAGGCTGAGTACAGACCTTAGTTGGCTCAGCACTGGCCTCAGATATTCGAGAGGACTCCAAAGCTTTGTTAGCCTTACTGGAGTTAAGGTCTTGATCATTGCTAATACCTAAAACTGGAGGGGAAGATTCTGTAGGCATTTGTTCAGGGACTTCTTTGTTTTCTTTTGCCAATGGAAATGAACGATCCAGCTTCTTTTCTAGTTTTGGATCATTTGCCAGCACAGTCTCTTTCCCCTCACTACCTCCCTCAAATAAAGTTGACAACTTCTTAAAACTGGATATTAAACCAGTCTCTGCTGCTCTATTGCCCGAGGGGGAAGGTGGGGCAAAGAAAGAGCTCAGTGATTTCCCATGGTCAGTAGCAGAGGATGGGAAGCGGAGCTTTGGCCAGTTGGTTATGTTTGGGATCTCAAAACGAGGTCTTGGCTGCTTGGCTTCCTGGGGGACTGTAGGTATATCTTTCTGGGCATGAAGTATCTCGCAACTTTCTTTAGCACAAAGCCCAGGTTTCTCCAGCGGAGGATGAGGAGAGTGCCCTTGGGTTTCCAGGGTGGTCCTCTGGTTCACACTTGCCTCACTGAACAGTGCAGTGTTGGTTTCTCGTGAATTGGTTGCATGCAGCTCCAAGAAATCTTGGTTTGTGGAGGCAGTTTGAATAACTGGTTCTGGCTCAAGAGGAAGAGGTGGCTGAATTGGAGGAGGAAGATCTTCAGCAATACAGGTAGGATCTGGATGTAACTGTGTTGGCGATAAAATAAACTCTGCTTCCAATGATGCCTCTGTGTCTGTACCCTGCAATATTCCCATGTCTCCTTCATCACTCAGAGATAATACTCCTTGCCCAGTATCATCCCCCGAGACAGAAGATGTAGCAATTGTTTCAGAACTTTGGGGTCCTGGAATATTTTCAGGAGTGTTACTGTTTTCCATTTTGGTTGTTAATTTAGGATCATCTGTCATGGTATCTGATTCTGACTTTGCACTAACAACAGTCACTCTACAGTCACTGACAGTAGATTCTAAATTGGGTGCTGCAGAGGCAGCTTCTCTCCACAAACCTTCTGAAGGTCCTAATCCTATAGCATCTTTGGAACAATCATTTTGAAGCCGTGAAGTAGCTGGGATAGCTGATTCTTGTTTGTGTGTCTCTGGTTTGGGACTTTTGAAAATTCCAAATAACTCATCTTTGAGTGGCTGAGACGACACACCAGAAGAAAAAGAGAAAAAGGAGTTTTTCTTTGGAGATTTAGGAGAGGAGAAAATTCCAGAGAGCGTTTTGGGAGGTTCAATTAAGCCCCCAGAGAAAGATTTCACTTTGGTCACAAATCCTGAAAGCATTTCTACTGAAGAGCCTAACACTGATTTGTCTTCCTCTTTATCTGTATCTCGGTTCTGGAGATGGCCTGCACATTCTGGCTCTGGAGGAGAAGAGGCTGGCTCCAGGATACGTGGTAAGATCTCATTGGGGGCCTTTTCTAATGGCAAGTTCAATGGGTCACTAGTAAAGCTTTCATTTGGGTGGCAGTTAGTACAAATGTCTAAATCATTTAACTTTTCAAATAAATGGTTATTGTGTGAAAAAGAGTTGGTCAGTGAGTCATTGGGGAAGGCTCTCTGGTTGAAAGCCTCTTCTTCATGGGGAGTTATCCCAAGGGTCTCTGGGCCTATGAGGAATGTTTCAGCCTGTGCCTGACATTCTGGTGAAGGAGGAACAGTTTCTTTTTGCAACTGATGCAACTGGAAATCTATTGAAGATGTCTCTGATACATTATTGGCACTCAATTTCTCCCGATAGTCCTTCTCTACACTGAGCTCATCTGCAAGGGAGGTAACCTCAATAGCGTTACTAATGGCAATACAAGGTGCCATTTGCTTTTCATGCACTACTTCCTGGGTTATGCTATCTTTATGACCATTGGCACCTTCTCTCGTCATTGTGCCACCAGAGTCTACAAAAATACTTGGCTTCTTACAGGGCTGAGAAGTCACTGGAGCAACAGCTGAAAGGCTTTGTTTTTCCTCAGGAGTCTCCTGCTTTTGATCCAAAAAGGGTAAGTTGAAGAAACTAAAAGTAGAGCTTTTATGAGAGGGATCCTTCTTGATGCTTGAGCTTGTAGTGGAAAAAAAGGAAGGAAGTGTGAATAGCCCTTCTCCTTGAGATTTGGCTCTTGGTAGAGTAGCAGAGGCTCTGTTCTCAGACTTTTCAGATCCAGTCAGAAAAGAAAATATACTCTTTTTGGCTGCCGTCTCTGGTTGGGATGAAGATGTTGTAGCAGTTGAAAAATTCCAGTCCTTGTCAAAAAAGTTATCTTGTTCATTTGAATTTTTTCTGTTCAGAATATCAGAAGATATTTTATTACTTCCTGAAACTTCTGTCACTGTAGATATACCTCTATTTTCTATTGAAGAACTTTCAGAAGACCCTTCGAGATTACTTGTTGAGAAAGATGAATTAGGTGACTGCTGGATTAGATGGTCTCTAAAAGGTACCTCTTTTCCCATCAAATTATTACCCTGGATCTCTCTAGGTGATGGTTCCATAAACCCACTGTCATCAATAGTGGTCTGTTTGTTTAGACTTCTAACTCTAACCCTTCTTTTAGAGGAAACTGATGCAGCAGGAAAGTTCCCAACACCCTGGTTAGTTAGCTGTACAGGACTTGACCTGACCTCATCCTTATTAGTCACTGAAGAAACAGGCATATTTTCAGTTGTCTGCATAGGTGATACATTGGTTTTAAAGAAATCCCCAAGGGTACCAAAAAAATTTGAAACACCAGAAGATTCTTTCTTTTCCTGAGATAATATCTTAACATTTTTATCACCAGTCTTTTCTTCTAAGTTTGGTGATCCTTCTTTATTCACCTGAGTTTTAAAGAGGTTCAAAAATCCAGATGCCTGTTTTTCATTTGTTGTACTTACTGAAGATTCTTCTCCTCGACCAAAGAGTTTTAATGCACTTTTAAATAATGTACTCTCAGACTCCTTGGGAGACTGGTCCTGGGGAAGCTCACAATTCTTATGCTCATCCCTACTATACTGTGGTGCAAGAGGAACTGAAATAGAGTCCGTTGTAATGATTTCATCATCTTTTATACCCGAGTTAGCCTGAGGAGTTGTTTGGTTTACCTGGAAACCAGATTTTAATAAACTGTGTTTTTTCACATGAACACCTTTATTTAAAGGGAATTCTTGCCTTTTATTTTTAGTAAATTCTGGTTGTTGAATATTGGATACTGTCTGTCTCTCTGAATCCTTGAGAAGACTTTCTCCCTCGTTTTGAGAGTTACTCCCTAATTGCTCACTCAATATTAATGACTGAAGGCCATCAGTTTTGAGCTCCTCTAATTTTGACTGCTGATCCACTTTCTGCACAGCCAAAGACTCTAAGGGTTCACTCTTATCAAAATTCAAAGTACTCCCAACTGAGGCACCCAAAACAGAAAATACAGAAGTCACTTTGTTCACTGATGTTTCTTCTGCTTGCTGTGAGCCTTTAGTCATATTTTCAGGATGAACCACAGAGGCAACTTCTTCAAAGGAAGACTGAAGCCAATGAAAGCTAGAAAGGTGAACTGAAGAATCTTTAGCTAGCAGCTGGTTCTTATCTCTCTCTCTAATTTGATCTTTATTTAAGACATGATTACTAACAGTCTGGGCCTGATTTCTGAGATCTAATGTACATTCAAGGTCTCCAGGACCATATGGCCTTTCTTTGAAAGATATAAAATCTCCTTTAAACTTTTGAGGCTTATAGCCTGAAAAATCTAATGGTTGATCCCTTTGGCCATTACTTGACTCTTTAAGTACTTGTGAAATGGTTTCTAAATTTAGACGGAATGGTTCCTTACTTCTTGGCAAAGCTACAGATAAATCAAGAGGGTCATCAATTGGTTCCTCTTCAATACACCACAATATTTCATCTTCCTTGTCAAGTACCTTAAAACTACAGGCAGAAATAATGCTGTCATCCAATGTAATACCTGATAGATCATTTGTTTGTAAATCACAATTTAAATACTCTTGATAAGAATAATCAGGTACAAATAAATATGCATACTGCCCAGTAGAATCAGTGAGGAGAGAATAGATATATTGACCATCATGAAACATATAATATCCATAATCCCCATCCTCTGATGGCCACCACACTCCATTTTCAAGACAGGATAACCATTCCTGATACTCATAACCAAAACTTGAAAAAACAAAGTTTTCATCTATTCTAAATGATTCTTGATCAACTACGGGGTATATAGTCTTCTCATAATCTGAAGAAAAACTTAAGTCAATGGGCAATTCTTCTAATGAATTCTTAGTCTCATTAATTAGAAGATGACCAGAATTTCTATATAATGATTTAGCTGCCCACACATCACCTCTTAAAAAATAATCTTCATTAAATGCTAACTGGTCAAATGATTCATATGGTAAGTCACACCAAATGACACTGTTTGGATTTGTTCTCCAGTCTAAGATATTTGCATTTTGATCTTTTTGGCAAAAATTTATCACGGGGTTTTCTGAGTCAAGCCGCAAGAAAGCATCAGCTGATGGAAATGTATTTTGATTCAACATACAATAAACTGGCTGAAGTTTTCTGGAATTTCTAGAGAAATCTTTTACATCAGAGTCCCATTCAAAACAGAAAGGGTTATTCATCTCTTCAAAAGTCTGACAGTGGTTTGATTTATTAAGAATGTTAGTATTTAGTAGAGGTGAATTTAACTCGTTTGAATTTTCATGTAGTTTTGTCTCAAGAACATGGTTTGGTGTTGGCTTCTTAGTTAAAGATATCTCTAAGGAGCCTGGCTGAGCACCTGGAGCACCGTGAAGTACCATGTTCTCAGAAGACGGGAAATGCTTTTCATTTTGCTGGTTTTTCCATGTAGGAGGGCAACCATGATTATCAACCAAAGCATCAGATAATGGTATATTCTCTTTAGGTAATAAGCAGCTTTCTACAAAGGCAGACATTTCGTGTTTTTCAACACAGTTCGTAGGGTTTTCAGAAGTCACACATGAAGTAGCAGGGACCTCATCCAAGGATAAATGCTCATCTTCATTCAAACTCTTCATGTTGCCTGAAGACATGAACTTTGCTTCATCTGGTTTACAGTCAGTCATACCGCTATTTGATATCAGGTTAAATATTCCAGAGATTAAGCTTGGGTTAGTATTCCTGTGATTGGAATCATCATTTTTCAAATTTAATTTTTGTTTACTAGACGAGTTTTCAGGAGAAGAAAACCTGTTAAATAAGCCAGAAAGGAAGCCTCTTTGGGTTTTTTCCCCAGACGTTTTATCTATAACTTTATCTTCTTCACTAATTTCACTAAGCAAAATAGATTTCGAAACAGTAGAAATAAACTCTAATGAAGAGTTTGATACTATTGAAGATGTCACTTGTGTAAGATTTTTATCTTCTCCTGAAGGATCTGAAGTTATATGTTCTATAGGCACAACTCCAGGGATGGCTAAGGCATTTCTTTCATAATTTGCTACTGCTGTATGGTCACTTGGATTTAATTCCTCTATAGTCCCCAATTCTCCAAGGTCATCATTAATATTTATAACTGAATCAGACTTTATTATGTTGAGTTCGGCATCTTCAGGATAATTTATTTGGTCATTCTTATTAAATTCCTCTGTATTGCCCAATTTCCCTAAATCATTATGAATATTTGCAACTGAACTACATTTGAGTGAACTAAGTTTGCCATCTTCATGGCAATTTCTTTGGATCTCTTCTTCATTAGTGTTTACTCCCGAGACATGAAAATTTTGGTCATTTATAGTGATATGGCTGTCAGCAAAAGGAAATTTAAACAAAGGAAAAAAGCTTCCTTTCTCTCTTAAATCCTGCTGCTTTTCAGAATGCTCAAGAACTCTAAAAAATGGAATATGTAGTTTTCCACTAAAGGAAAAGGAACGTCCATCTTTCTTAGAGCCCCTTTCCCATTCATCTTCATCGATCTGGCGAATTTTCATAGATTCTGACAAAGTTTCCTTTGAACAGGTCTCAGGGGAAGTGAGGAAAAACTGGCTAAATGATTTTCTGAGTGGCTCAAGAAAATCATCATCACCAGTAACTTTGTCCTCCTCTACAGGCTTGAAAGAAGCCTCTTCATTGGCAGTTCTGCTCCCAGCTACACAAGGATGTCCTAGAGTATCTTTGGCACATATTTTTGGTTGATCTGGTAATAGAGACTGATCTATACAGGATTTTCCTTCCAACAGACTCTCCATATCGTCTTTCTTACTTGCAGAACTAGCTAAGTTTGAAGGTTCACTGACCACTTTAGAGGACAAATCCTCACTTGTGGGCATTTGGAAGCAGCCTGTAGTTTCTCCATCACTCCTATTTAAAGCAATGATGCTACTACTGTCATCGTCGAGAGTGCTTTCTCTTTTATTTGACTCCAAACCACACCCAACAGAGCCTTCCTTTCTCAGTGGCTTGATCTGGTCATCTTTTTTGGTTTCCCCCTTTTCTGAAAAGATCTTTAATGGATTCAACATGCTGAAAACAGATTTTATAACTGAACCCTGACTCTGTGGAGCCGAATCCCTTCTGATAGTTTCTGCTGCATCCTGAAAGCTTAAACTCCCAGTTTTATTGCCCATGTACTCATTTTCAGAGGTTTTGCCATGTCTGCCTGCATTCTTATTATCTTCTGTTTGTGAGGATAATGCAGATTGCACGGAAAGATCCTTCTCTAATACTGACTTGGCTCTGGGTGTAGATTCCAAATTAATTGTCTCTGTTTGATTAGGAATTTCTGTTTTCTCTGGAACTAAATAAACCAGCTTTTCCACAGTGGTTGTCAGATGCTTTGTGCCTGAACCCACCCTTTCTGTGAGTGAAGTGAACAAAGAACCAACAGCACATTTTACTTCATTCAACTCAGGAAAAGAGATGGCCTTGTCATTGTTATTACTGACTATGGTTAAAGGTGGTTTTTGAATCCCAGGCATTTTCTGTTCTGCATTTTCAACAGTACTGTAGTGTTTATGTATTTCTTTAGTTTTTGAAAGGGAACCAAATCTGTTAATCTCCTCTTCCTTCTCTGCTAAATATTCTGATACTGTTTCCACCAAACACTGAAGCTCATCCATTGTATCAACGTAGTCTTCCTTGGACTCGGCAACAGAGGAAGAGGTCATCTCTTCCATGGAACACCTGGATAGATCTCCAAGTGTTTTTGCATCACAATTCGTCCTTTGCAATGGCAATAATGAATCTGCTACACAATACTCTTCAGTTAATTCTCTAATATGATGAACACTGGATGGACACCATGTTGGTGACAGCAAACCTTCCTGCTTATCAGAAATGGGGGAACTGAGAAGTTCATCAGAAGTACTGCTATTAGAATCTTCAAGAATATCTAATGGAGTGAAATTAACGACATACTGTTTTGAGCCAGATGACTTTTCACAGTTCTTTAAATAAACAGGTAGATCATAATCAACTTCCTTCAACTTAGTGGGCCGTGTGCCACTCCTAACCACAAATCCATTTTTGCAGGGGTGCAAAACTGGGTAATTTTGTTTCTTTTTTTCATTGTGGCAAAGGTGACAATTTTCAGTATCAGAATATATATTTTTGGAATTAGTCTTAGTTACAGATCTCTCATATTGCCTTCTTTCACTGTCTTTAAAATGACTGTATAAGGGTGTTTTTTTCCTTCTCCTATCTATTGTATCATATTTCTGAGGATATCTGGAAAAAATAGATGTTTCAAACTTAAGGTCAGTAGAGAATTCTGTTTGTTGGCTCTGAGATGGTATCTTTTTCCAATTCTTGTACTTTGGTTCTTTTTGTTGGCTGTAGTATTCATTAACTTTTGTAAGAGTTCTAATTTCTTTTACCTCTGCTTCCTTCAAGTTTATGTTACTATTTTCTAGAAACTCTTGTGATATTTTTCCCTCTATCTCTTCATATATATCTTCTTGCTCTTCATAGTCAACATCAGAGAAAGCTGAAATTATCCTAATTTTGTCATTTTTAGCCTTTGAGCCTTGTCTGATATAAGTGGACAAAATTGAGGAATAGTCAGGCAAAGAAAAAAGGAGAGACAGGGAAAAGGAAGAAACAAGTTAAAAGATTTAGCACATGTTCAATGAGAAGATTAGAATAGTAAAATTACACATGTTCTTAAATCGATATTGTGCCAGTATAGTCAAATAGCTTTTTCCACATCAGAAAAAGAATAGCTATAACAACAATTGTTAAATGCTTCAACTGTAACAATGTCATTGGTGAGCTTTTTAGGATTCTTTAATTTTCTAAGAATCAAAAAAGTGAAACATGTTTTATCAATATCTAGAAGGAATTTACATTGCCAAAGTTTAGAACTGTTAAGTATACCATGAAAATATACCAAAGGATTTCAAGAAACGTAAATTTGTTGATGAATTTGAGTCAAAAAAGAAGCCAAGCAGTTAACTTGCTGAAAGTTATATTTGAGGCTATGTAGCCAATAATATGGTCAAACATATTTTTTTCACCTTAAAATACATTCTGTAGAAAACATATTTCTTTTAATACAAAAAAACATAATAAAATAGTTTTAGACTATCAGAATTCAAACATTGTTACATTACCAAAAAGAGTAAATTACTTAAAATCATTATAATTTGTTGTTTTGAAATTAAAGGCTATATGCATTAAGAATCACAGTGAAAAGAAAATCTTTCCCTACACTGATTACGACAGCAGAAGCTACATGTCCAACTTAAATCAATGAATACAAAAGATAGCAGACTTTTCTTTCAGTTAGGTTAGAGACTGCCTGCTTCCTGTTAAGGTAGGGGTGGAGTCTGTCAGCTCAGCATGTTCCTTTTTAGATCTAATATCCAACAGGATTTATTTAGGAAACAGAAACAAGATCTAAGTAGTTACTAAAAATCTTCCAGGGTAAGACTGCTATTCTCTTGAACGATCTTCAGCACTAGAAACACTTTGGCTATATAATACTGTACCCAAATCCAAGCCTATTGTCAAACCTCAAATTATGCAAAAATTCTGTTATTCTGGACTCATTAGGCAAAAGCCCATTTGACTGAGTTAGGAAATCCAACTTAACACATTTTTTACATGCAGTTTCATTACTCTCCACTATTCCCCCAAAACTCAAACTAAACTCACGCCTGGAAGAGGTCATTATAGTTCTAATGGCTATAGTGAATGTAGCTATAATATTTTTACACTTTTGTATTTACTGTAAAGTACACTTAAATACATTTATTGCCTCAAGATGTTAACTTTCTTCCTAAAAAGCCATATAATTTAAGGACTTAGACTATTTCCATGAACTAAGTGTGAGCAACAGAAAAGTTTAAAAATCAATGCTAGTGACATAATCTCCTCAAACTTTTAAAGGAGAAATCATTTCAAAATATTAACTTGAAAATATCTTTAAGAAAAGGTTTAGTTAAGAATCATGTTAACTTTTCCTATGCTTTTAAAATATTTAACAATATTTACTTTTAAATCTCATTTTATATACTGATACAGTAAAATTTAACTTACATGAGAACATTAAAGAAAAATTTCAGGAAAAAACATATAACTTAAAGAACATCACCAATGCTGCCCTAAGTGTTATTTATTATAGCTTAACATAGGAAATAACCAAAATAATAAGGTAATGATTAGTAAATTAGTTTTTCCAAATGGAAGAGTATACAGTTGATTAGGTTAATGTGCCATTATTACTGCTATCTTACACATCTAATGCTTTCAAACACAGTGGTGGGAAAAGGTTCAAAAGAACTTTTTTTTTCTATTATGTTTCTTTCTTAAAGTAGGGCAATATAAACAACTAAAATCAAATATTTAATAAATAAAATATGCAAGCATTCAATTAATAAACCAGCAAGGAGTAGGCACCAATTCAGTAGCATTCTTGGCATGTTTCTCTTTAGAATCAAAATATGAAGAGAATTCTGTGCTATGACTGATACATAAAATTTCACTGAAAATATTTTCAGAGATAATAGGAAACTGGGTCAGGACATTGTCTAGGAGGTAGATGGCCATCTGAGGCTCTGCATAAAAATTCACCAATGTAGTAGCTTGGTGAGGTGGGCAAAAAAATGAGATCATCCTATGGTCTATTAAATTTTAGAAACTAAAAGTATAAGCTAAATTGGAATGGTTTTTTAAAAACTAACCTTCAATCAATGAAATAACTGATTCAGGCAAGAATTAACGGATGCTAAAATCATTGGGTAAAAGGTTGTTAAAAGAAAACGGATATTGATACAATCTCAGGTATCACCCTCAGCTATTATAATAATTACAAAGGGGAAAAGGTAACTTTACATTAGAAATATATGACATGCCAAAGTTCTTTTAAAAAAAGATCAATTGGCCGGGCGAGGTGGCTCACGCCTGTAATCCTAAAGGTTAGGAGTTCGAAACCAGCCTGAGCATGAGCGAGACCCCGTCTCTACTAAAAATAGAAAGAAATTAATCAGACAACTAAAATATATAGAAAAAATTAGCCGGGCATAGTGGTGCATGCCTGTAGTCCCAGCTACTTGGGAGGCTGAGGCAGGAGGATCACTTGAGCCCAGGAGATTGAGGTTGGTGTGAGCTAGGCTGACGCCATGGCACTCACTCTAGCCTGGACAGCAAAGTGAGACTCTGTCTCAAAAAAAAAAAAAAAAAAGATAAATCTATGGCAGGGAGCAGTAGCCTATAATCCTGGCACTTTGGGAGACCAAGGCAGGAGGACTGCTTGAGACCATGAGTTCAACACTAGCTTGAGAAAGAGCAAGACCCTATCTCTATAAGAAATAGAAAAAAATTAGCTGGGCGTAGTGGTACATGCCTATAGTCCCAGCTACAGGGGAGGCTGAGGCAGGAGGATTGCTTGAGCCCAGGAGTTTGAGGTTGCAGTTAGCTATGAATGCTACTACATTCGACCCAGGTGACAGAGCAACACCCTGTCTCAAAAAAAAAAAAAAAAAATCTAAACATCACCAATAATAAGACAAAGTATGTTCTTCCTGAATGTATTGTGAAGGAAATATCACACTATGTAGTATTTTTGCCAAAAATGTTTAACCTTATTCTAAACATGAAGAAACAATCAGATAAAACCAAACGAAGTGGGCATTCTCAAAACAACTAGCCTGGACTCTTCAAAAAAGTTTCTTAAAAGACTGGAAAAAAAAGTAAGGGAATTGTGCTAGATTAAAGGAGGTTACGGAAACATGAAAATCAAATGCAACGCACTGTGATTTTTGATTGGATCAGAAAGGAAAAAATATTGTATAATTAAATCTCTTGAATGTGATAATTGAGGTTATATAAGAAAAAGTCCTTTTTCTTAAGAGTACCATGCTGAAATACTTTCTGGTGAAGTAACATGGTATCTGCAACTTTCTTTCAAACAGTTTAGAAAAAAAAAGTATGTGTATATCAATATACTTAGAAAGAATGAGACAAAGTAAATGTGGCAAGATGTTGCAGCAGGTAAATCTAAGCAATATAGGTATTTATGATTTCTCCAAATTTTAAGTTTGAACTATTCATTTAAAATGGGGGAGAGCACATATGTGTATATTTGCCTTTATACTCATAAATATGTGAAAATAGGCTATGGAGGATACATAAGAAATAGTAGGAAGGGAACTAGGAGACAATAAGGAGATGGAATAGAGGAAGAAAACAGGTGTGGGTGGGAAATTCTTTACTATATACTATATTGTACCTTAAGTTTTTCTTAACTGTATAAATGTTTATTTTTAAGAAATTAATTAAATTAAATTTAAACAAAGTTCCAGCAAAATTACTGAATCTACTATGATGAGATCATATTGGTTTTCTTCTTAAGTTCCCAGAGAAGTGTTTAGGCAGAAAGAATTATCCAAACATTTAACATCTATGGTTTTCTTTTTTTAATCTTGGAGAAGGTTATATCAAAATCACTGAGTCAGGAAGGGGGGTGGACAGGTTTTATTCAGCAATACACCCCAAATGGGCATGCCCTCATCAGCTGAGAATTGCTGATCATAAAAAAGCATTCCTGATGGTAATGTATAAAAGTGAATGTGTAGAAGAGAAAACAAGACTGACAATCTACACAAAATGATTGTAGCTTGGCCCATCATTCTGCTACACTTCTACTACTACCTCAGGTTAAAGCACTGGAATCCTTGTTATCAGGTGTATCACAGGACCTGGTTATAGGAACAGAAAGTACTTTGTTCCCAATACCCACCTGAGGGCCTGTCGCTCTGGATAATCAAGGTCGTAACTTCGCATAGAGTCATTGCAAGAGTCCCGGGAACTACCCTGAAGTAGCAGCTGCTGTGGCAATCGCGCTGACACAGGGAACTGGTGCACAGAAGCATTGGGCTGGGAAGTCGTATGGTAAGGAGGTGGGATGCTATTGCTGGTCTCACTACGATAGTCACTATCCCGGTCATCCACGGCACTATCAGGGTCTTCAAAAGCTATGGAATAAGCACAGTCAATCAAAGCACATCATCTTTATTTGGTTCTTTGGAATTTTTCCTGTTTCTAACTTAGTAGCCACAAATCTAGACCTTAAGAACAAAACCAAGCTGAGCTGCACAGGAGCCCAGTGACCTCAAAGCCATGAACAGAATTGTCTCAAGTGATGCCCACGAATCTCTCTCCTTATCAAATAAGATAAGACACCTGGTTTAATTTTAGAACTGATTCCTAGAGAAGCTCCAAGTTGTATTTTCCCAATGTAGATTTCTATAGAATTCTGCTTCTCTAGCTATTATAAACATAATTAAAATCTGCTTTTAAATGTTACAAACAGATCTGGTCCTCTACCATTATCAAGGGTGTGGTGGGGTGGGTGGATGGAATAGCTTTGTCACATCTTAGAGAAAAGACATTTTTGTTTAAAGTTGGCTTGGTGTTTTTAGACTTTAAAATCCATGGACTGACCCAATAAGCAGTTCTAACATCAGAAGCTGGTGCTGAAAATCAGGAAGGTCAAAGTCAAGACTTAGAAATCAAGTCAAAGGCTCTAGACATAGCTGAGAACAGCAGTAGTCTTACAGTCTTCCTGCAATATGGGTTTTTCTAACGATTCCTGTCAAGCACCTATACCCTGGGGCCAGAATTCCCATCCAGAGCACGGGCTGGGAAAAGAGGAAAACATATGCACTGCCAATGGGATCTTGCTGACAATGCAGTTAAATTTATCTAACAACAGTGACTATAATTTCATAGAATTATTTCTGCTTTTCAGGCTAGCACCTGACCAGCTACAGTTTTTTCCCTAATATTCACTAAAATTACCAGTTACAAATAAATACTGTGCTTGGAAAGGAAGCTCAACCTAATAGTGCTTTAGTGCTTTCTACTATTTTATAGAGAAGAAACCACATTTGACACCATATCCATATGTGTATGATTAACAAGGTCCCACATGTCCTTTCTTTCCAAGTTCCTATTTGGCTCACAATGAAAAAAAGGAACATTCACCATCCCAAAAGGAATGATAGACTCCTCTTATTAGTAATTTTAAAAGATAATCTCGGTAGCGGTAGAGATGTGGGCAGTGGAAGCTGCCTGAAGACCATAACATTAGGCTTTTACAATTGCTCTGGCAGGAGATAAGGACCCAAATCCATACAGTGGAACTGGAAAAAAGTTAATGACCTAGAAGAAGAAAATACCAGACAGACTTGATAAAACCTGGGGATAAATGGAAAGTAACAGGGAAATGACACCTTGGCTTCCATTAGACAACCTGGTAGATATGAATTTTGCTAAAAGACAAATGTCTGGGTTTTACAGGCAAGGAAGAAATTTTAAGCATTGGATTCCCTGATAACATTTGTGGGTACAGCTGGAGGGTAGACGTAAGATGATCTTATGAAATTTTCACATGTGAGTTTAGGGTAAGATGTTAACATAAAAACAAGGAGAGGAGAGGGATCAGAACTCCAGGAGGAAAAATATGAATATGAGAAAGAAGCTAATCTTCAAACGGTTGGGAACAGTTATTAGTAACATTGCCATTTAAAGCAAGTAGTCCTTTCACCAGGGCAGGAGCAGCAAAGATTGGAAACAAAAGCAAACAATAGGGATGTAAAGCATTCTGCTTACAATGCATTCTGACACATTAGGAAAAGAGACTTCGGAGGCACTGGTTTTAGCCCTTGATGCATTTGTTCTTCTGAAGACTAGAAAGAAAGGATCCAGAGACAAAAACCAATATGCCATTCACACTTAATTCTTTCTGAACCCATAGAAGGAATAAGTCTGAAGAAGTCAGGACTGGACTATTCATGCATACCAAATGAGGGGGCAGAGGCAATAAAGGAGACAAAACCAGAAGACTTCTTAAACTCTAGCAGGAAAAGTATCAGCACAAAACCAAAAGAACTGAGTCTTCAAAGAGGCAACAGTGATAGACAATCCTATTGATTATGAAGCCAGAGAGGGTAGCTCAGCCTGAGTGAGGAGCTCACAGTCCAAAGCCAGAAAGTACTTGCAAGGACACTTACTTTCTCACTGCATCTGACCTGTTATGCCTAAATATTGCTCTGATTTTTTTTTTTTTTTTTGCTAGGCTACAGGGAGGAATACTCCCCCAACTTTCCTAAAGGCTAAAAACATTTCTATGCTAAAGAAACCAAGGGCAAATATTAAGAAACAAAGGGTCTATGGAAAGAAGAGGCTGGGAGTAGAAGAGAGAATATGGAAAGCAGAAGGGAGCAGGAGAAAGGCAACACAAAGAAGTGAAGTGAGACAAAGGAGAGACCAGCTTCTCTCCCCTACATCCATCACCTCCAATTTCCCTAAAAAGGAAACCTCCTGGCACCACCAAGCCTGATTAGAAACTAAAAATGGAAATTTAGGAAAATGTGTGATATTTCAGCTTGAATAAAGAACTGTTTTTAGTGTGTCAGTGTCAATCTCTTGTTGGCTCTGCAATCTACCCCACAGCACCATGTTAGACCAGAAAATTCCCCACTTTACAGGAAAAGAAGCTGAGTGCAGGTTTGGTTACTCAGCCTAAGGGGGGACCTGTGAGCTAGTTTGAAGGCAAAAGTTGAATGGCCCCTGATAAAATCTATTTGAAGCATGGAAAACTCAAAGCCTGGGGACATTTACTTAAATATTTATTGCATGCCCACATGTGCAAGGCTAAACAACATGAAAGACTCAGAGTACAGAGTCAGTTAATAGGAAAGAGAAAATATAGATACAAATATTGGAAATTATACAAGGAAGTTACTAGCATGAGAATAGCACAAAGGAAGTTTGTACTATTTGAGTAAAAAGGAAAGTAAAATCACTTCCTGATAGGGTGAGTAGGGAAAGCTTTACAGAAGTGAAAACTGGAGGGAGAGGGCAAATACCTTCTGGAATCTGGATAAAAGCAATGGCATGATTAAAGGCCCAATGGTTGGAAAGGCTATATAAATTTAAGCCAGTCAAATTTAGCAGTGGGGGGGGGGGTTTATATCAACTTTAGTGACACCCATGTTAGTAAGTTCTGATAACCTACTACCATCAGACCAGCTGGAAAGGCTATTTATTTTTGAGAAACATCTTGTAGTTCATTTGACAAATAAAAGGACATGGAGAGGCCGGGCGTGGTGGCTCACGCCTGTAATCCTAGCTCTCTGGGAGGCCGAGGCGGGCGGATTGCTTGAGGTCAGGAGTTCAAAACCAGCCTGAGCAAGAGTGAGACCCCGTCTCTCTATAAATACAAAGAATTAATTGCCAACTGATATATATATAAAAAATTAGCGGCATCGTGGCACATGCCTGTAGTCCCAGCTACTCGGGAGGCTGAGGCAGTAGGATTGCTTGAGCCCAGGAGTTTGAGGTTGCTGTGAACTAAGCTGACGCCACGGCACTCACTCTAGCCTGGCAACCAAAGCGAGACTCTGTCTCAAAAAAAAAAAAAAAAAAAGGACATGGAGAGAATGAGAAAATAAACCTGGAAAAGTAGGCTGGGGAAAGTAATCCAACTTGGGGCAAAGATGGGCCTCCAAGCACACAGTACGCACACACAATGAGGCTGTCTTGTATGTAGTACTCATGGACTAAGTCCCTGTTTTTGAATTAAGAGCACAGCCATAACTTTACCAGCCAAAAAAAAAGAAAGAAAATTCATACATTTTTTTCATGGCTTGGTTACTTTTTTCTACTTGAAAACCTTAACTTATACGAGCTCCCTCAGGCTTCTTTTGGTCTGTTCCCCAACAGTAGAAATACTCAGAAACTACATACTTAGTGAGAAATTCCAGTGACAGGACAAGATCTGGTCCTTCTTGGCACCTATTAGATACTTAATCACTGAGACTCAACCAGATCCCCAATCAGATGGGTAATACAACCAGTAATGTCAGCTGAGGGCTGCGTATTCTGCTGGAAAGAACTGGCTGCCCATTCTGTAAGTTCTAAAACAAAGGTGGCCTCCAGCCTAGTTGAGCTGCTTCAAGGAAAGCCAAACCATGCCCTCAGCCTCTTGTTTCCTTCACAATAGGTTTTTGGCTGAACTAGCATTCACACTTTGCTAGACCAACAACAGTCTATTCTGCATATCTCCCCAATCTTAGTGTAGTATTATACAGACAAGAAATTCAGTCAAATCAAAATATACAACAATTACCCTGATACTAGTTCATCTCAGAATAAGCCTTCTGCTTCTGGTCACTGCACTCTTTAGCCAAGGGACTTAAAGAAAAGGTTTTTCACGCTCAGAAGCTGATGGTATTACTTGTCTCTGGGGAACAAAAATCAGGAAATCATGTTGGGATTGTGACTAGAACTTTGGTTTGAAATTTTTCTCTCTCTCTCTCTCACACACACACACACACACAATCTCTCTCTCTCTCTCTCTGTCTCTCTCTCTCTCTTACTCTCTTTCTTTCTCTCTCTAAGAAATCAGCCTGAAAGGATATAACATTCCATGACAGGTAATTATCTCCTGAGATTGAAGTGGGAGAGTAGGTGAATGGAATTATATATGCTTGTATGCATGAATATCCAGCTTCATAGTTGAGAGGGAGTATGTTAAAAGGTAAGATCAAGAAAATTAAAAGGAATTTCAGTTCTTACGTACTCTGCTGTTCTCCCCAGCCCAAATAGGTCCAGTGACCTAAGAAAACCGCAAAGAAGAGCAAAAGAGTGACAGACAATTTTAGATGTAATTCAAATATCAGTTCCCCATCCCACCAATTATATGTCTTACCTTGTTTAAGCCTACCCCACTTGTATTCCATTAACTTTACATAACACAGTATCTGCCTTGTACTAAACATAAGACAAAGCTACATAAGACAAATCTACAAAGTATTTTTATTCTCTGGTATCCACTATATACAGAATAACAAAACAAAACAAAACAAACCTGCTACTTACATACTGTTTTCTTTTTTAAAGGGATGAGGTCTTTCTATGTTGTCCAGGCTGAACTCAAACTCCTGAGTAGCTGGGACCACAGGTGCCTGACACCGTGCCCAACTCTCCATACTGTTTTCAACCTCCTTCTGGCTTAGGTCTCTCTCAGAACATCATTATTTAGGAGCTCATATACTTTTCCTTAGCCAAAATAAGAAAAACATGATCTCCTGTCTCTACAAAACCCTTCCTTGTCTGTGTTCGCCAAACCTATGCCTACCATAGTATCCCCATGAGAAGCCCAGCCCTAATACCATGGTTAAAGTGAGAGAGTCCCTTGTCTGGGAGCAATGATGTACAATTCTGCTGCTCTCTACTGAAAGTTAAAAGGCCAAAGAATGGCAATGTCTCTTAAGAAACTAATTTCTAATTTTCTAGTAAGTAATAAAATACTCTAGCCTATTGGATCCTCAGAGATAGCTACTTTTGCTGAGTTACTTATCAGTTTTTAACAAAATCCATTAAAACACAAATATTTTGAAGGACAGGAGAAAACTGAAAACATCTTTTATTATTTTTTCACAAAATCAAAAATCCAATATTAACTAAATTTAAATCCTATCCCATACCCAAACATAATTTGAGGCAACTAATTGTGACAAAGAAATCATTAAAAATTGGCCTTTAATCCCAAGAAATAAGGAGTAGGTTAGCTTCACAGTTAAGAATATAGGTTTTAAAGTCAACCTCAGTTCTTCCAGCTTTGCCACTTACTAGCTATATGATCGTGAAAAAGTTATTATAGATATTTCCTCAATTGTAATATGAGAATAATAATAGTATGAGTCTCACTGGGTTATTGTAAGGATTATATAAGAAAAAGCACATAAAATGCTTAGTACAATCCCTGGAACATTGCGAGCAACTAGCATTTGCTATTGGTCTGTCACATTGCCAGGTTGTTGCTTGCCTTACGATTCCTAATACATACACGTGGGAGAAAGAAAACAACCCTCAGAACCATATACTCTGATAGACCTAAGGTCTACTAAGGGATCTTCAATGTCTATCCAGAAGGCCCTCAGAGTTCTGAGAGTGTGGCTCTCTTGAAAGTCCGCAGTAAGACTCAAAATTCTGGGAATATCAAATGATGCCAATCCCAGCTGGTTTAATTACTTGAGCTAACCACCAAACCTGGGCATATAAGACTACTAATCAGTCACAGGCTGTTTCATAGGTATATACTGACAGCCAGTTTTCTTTCTATCCACTTGCCTTCTTTCTATCACCTAGGTCTCTTCTTCTCACCCCTCAGAAAGGATATGTTGGATTAGTGTGCCACTGTTAAATTTTAATAATTTAACTTTCTAACCAAGGGGAAGGGGAGGTAAAAGAAAATGCTCCCAGGCTATAGCACAGTTGCCATAGCAACTGCTAGAGGGTAATTACCTGATTTCTTTTAAAAAGAAAATGGAAAAAAAGCATCACATAGAACTTGTCTATGAATATGTCTATCAACCTAGATAGCTCTAGGCAAGTGACAGTGCTATTTCTCACCATAACTCTGAGCCCAAAGGCGGCTTTCCCCGCAGAACACTGCCACATCCTTGAGCACTCGACAGCATTGCACAGTAGTTTCTTTTTATATATAAAAGGTGCTCAGTAAATATCTATTGTATTAATAACTCGAATAATCCCATCTACTGAGTCCATCCCTAACCCACACACAAAAAAACAGTCATGCTCTCTGACAAACCAGATTCCCATTTTCACCACTTTAGCCCAGTTCCATTATAAGAGAAATAACATCAGTTTAATTAAGCAAGTTTCCTTCTCCACCCCAAAAATGCATTAAAATATGTCGCTAGTTAGTAGAACAATTACTGAGGATAGTTAGGTTTTGCTAAGCATAAGTCCTGAGAAAGGGAAGAGGAAATGTCCCAGGAAAATCAAATTATACATACAAAAGCACATTTTGTGAACTGAAAATAGTTCTAGAGTATTTGAACGAGAGGCTATAGTTATGAAAGAACAGGGGGTGTAAGTAATGTTAGGAATTTGGAATTATCTAGAGGACAATACAGAGATATCACAGCTTTTAAGAGGGGAGAGACAAGATTAGATTTGTCATTTTAAAAAAAAGAAGAGCAGGTCAATGGTTATTGTTGTGGGGCGGGGGCGGTTGGTGACTGGTGTCTGAGAGGCTGGTATAAGGAGGCTGTTGCACTCATCTGTTGATAGTCTGAACTAGAGAAATGACAGAGAATGGAGAGAAGTGGATAGATTCATGAGATATTTTGGAGGTAAAATCAATAGGGCTGAATGAGTAACTGCGGAAAGTGAGGAGAATAAGAACTAAATACTATTGCTTAGGTTTTTAGCTTGAGCTACTGGATGAATGTGACATCATTTGCTGAGAAGAGAAATACAAAAGGAGGGCAGGTTGAGGGAGATGATGAATTGAGGGTTAGGTATACTGACTTTGAGGTATCTATGGAACATCTCAAATAACTATTAGTATGTCCAGCAGACAGCTAGATATATGGGT